CAAAACGATCTAAATCATGGTTGTATTAGTTCGTTACCAAACATGGTCTTCCACATGACTGCTTTTGGACAGAGGCAGCGATCTGTGGACATTGCGAGTCACCTCAGAATTAAATATATGGGTGTGATGCTGTCCTCATTTGACTCTGTGGACATTAAGGCAGCTGTCAGGGTGTCAGGCTAAAACATTTACTGTGGGCTACAACTTCAGTAATCACATTTAAATCAAACTAATCTGTATTAAGCTGTAACCTAAATGAACAGTCATCTGTCATGTTGTGATTAGTCGCACTGATTGGATCGTAGTTATCGTTGCTGGAGCTGATGTGAATGTTCTGAGTGAAGATGAGGGGTGCAGCTGGAACAAATAAAGTGAGTTTGTTAATATTTCTGCTTATAGTCTTAATGGTTTGACCACTTTTATTAAATATGAAATGAGCAAGATTTTAGAATGAGTCTAAAAGTCAGACACATTTTCCACAGAAGAAAATAATGAATAGCCTGCTGTGTGGGACTGTGGCTTTACAATCACAGGTCCATGAGTAAACTGTGTCTAACGTGTAGTGCATGTATTCTACATATACGTCTGTAGCATTAAATGTCTTATCTGTTTCTCTGGGTCAGACTCTGTAATCGCCCTCTGGTGTATGACACTCTTTTAATAATATCACAAAGACACTGTTTGTTGTAATTCTTTATTTGTTTCTTCTTAAGGAAATATACAATTTCCACCACCGATCAGTTAAAAACCGCTCTGATAATAATGCGCCTCCACCATTTTATTTAGATTTTATGAACTTTAGTCCTGCCCTTAGGGATTCATTAAACTCACCAGCCGCTTGGATCCTGAAGGAAGTTTGTTACTCCCAACATAACGTCTTCATACCGACGAAGACTCAGACGCACTATTCTTTACAGAGAGAAGAAAAGCCTCTCTTCAGAGTCAACGCCGCTGTTTCCTCTCGCTGCCGCCGAAGGATCAGCTGTGCATTGACCGCGTTGCCAGTACGTTACCCCGATCCTTGTCAGAAATGAGACGAGAGCAGCTCTGCTGGATTTCCTACATGGACTGACGCTTTATTATCGCTATCGAGACTAGTTTTTACATCTGTTTCATTGTAAACGTACAAATTTCATTGTGGACAATATTCTGTGGAGGATTACCGTGTTGTTAATGGACCACTGCGTCCTGATTCTTGCGGTTGGTTCTTCCTCGCTCCACGTTTCGTGTTTTGTATCGGTTCCATGTCACTGCCGTGCCTTTCTTCCTCCCACGCTCTACGAGGATTCACACATATACACAAAAAAAATCCAGCTGTGCTCCACGTTTTGTATCAGACTGGGACATAACCACCCACACCTCGCTCTTTTTTGATCTCACACCAAAATACAAAATAATTGTGTATTATGTGGTTGGTTGTGAGGATCAGTGAACTCTTAATGTGGACAGAAATGTCTTCACATTTGATTTTTGGTCCCTGATTCCAGGATGGTGCCCATTTTATTTATGATTATTTATATTAAAGTCAATATTTATAGTTAATACGTTAATATTTCTAAAAAACATTAATAATTAGCTTATAATCAAACCTGCCTCTACATTGGCGCCAACTTAGAAACCCAAATATCTCCTGCCACTTCACAAAAATATGAAGTGACCAGTTTCTCACTGGGAGCCTGCGGCCGCCAGTCATGTTGAACGGCTATTTGGGCTTAACTTTTAGGTTTTTAAAATAAGCTCAACTTTGTTTCTTTCTCTCCGTCTTTAATGCATCTTTCAGCCGGTTTGCCAACCGCTAAAAACACTAAAGAAGAAGAAAAATGGAACTCTCCTTCTTTGTCGTCGTGATAGGAGGTGTTGTCTTGTCTGTGTTGTTTAACTGGCGCCCCCTCAGCGAGCGAGCTTGCTTGCTGACTAACCAGCTGTTATGGACATAACGTTGTTTACATGGAGAGGTAAACCTCACAGAGAGAAGCAGCGTCAGATAGTGAACCAAGTGTTTCAGGTTTTGAGTCCGCAGCTGTAACACTTGAGTTCAGTGACTGTATTGCTGGCTAGTTAGATGTTATTAGGTGAAATTATCTCGCTATTAGAGATGTTCAGGTGATTCTGAGGTGTTTCCTTCCTGTGAAGCTGCACAGTTTCAGTAAATTGTGTCTGAGCTTGTCTCAAATGATCATTTTCCAGCTGATCTCTGCACATTAGTGGGATAAGAAGAGAGAATAATTGACAAATATGGTGATAAAGATTAGAAGACGAGAGATATGAAATAGTATGATTACATTTCCTCCTGATGACAAATATACCAAGTAGCCTATAGATGCATCTGCTGTAAAATAATTGAATAAATTGGAAAAGTTCATTTTCTTCCATAATTTAATTCAAATATAAACGCTTATAAATATTCAAGCCTTTTTCGGTTTAATCTGGATGTGTCGGGTTTACAGCTCATGAATCAAAACTATAGTAACCCAAAATTTATTAGAATTTCAGAATAAATTATTATACAGAAATGTCGACCTGAGAAGAGCTCTCTTATCAGCTAATTAACTCAAAACACCTGCAAAGTTTCCTGAGTCTGTAATCTCTCAGTCTGGTTCTGGTGCTCACAATTAACTTTTCCACCATATTCAAAAAAAAATCAGATTTTAGATGCTCCTGTACTAATGTTACAAAAGCAATAATGGTCTAATTTAATGAATATCCCTGTCCAATCACATCACATGTCTGAATCTCATAAATACAAAAACCCTTTTTGACTAAAATTATTAGTATCAGCGAGTTAGGTGGCATTTCAGTCCCAGTCTAAAAGTGCTGCTATACGTTTTACACGTCACAAGATGCAGCTGTGTTTGCTTAGCTTAAAGCTTCATAATGCTTCATCCACTCATCACTACTGCTAGCTAATGTCAGCTGATTTGACTGTGTTTGAGGGACTATTTTGTCCCACAGATGAGTTAGAGGAGGAAGGACAGGCATCACAGCGGGACAGCAGCTGGATTAACTGCATATTGGTGATCCAGGGACCAGAAGAAGTTGCAGGTGTAATTAACTGCATATTGGTGATCCAGGGACTCCAGAAGAAGTTGCAGGTGTAATTAACTGCATATTGGTGATCCAGGGACTCCAGAAGAAGTTGCAGGTGTAAGCAGGTGAAATGAAGGAGGGACAAGAGATGAAAATGTTTAGAAGGAAAGAGTGAATAGAAAATCAGTAAGGAGCTCAGATGCCAGAAGTAAATGTAAGAGAATAAGAAACGGGGAGAACGTCTGGTTCAGAGGAGTCCATGAAGTCTTCCAGAAGATCCAATGTGATCATTAGAAGGCAGTTTAAATACTGGGGTCAGCCAACAGCACAAAACCGTTCAGGACGCCGCTTCTTATGTGGCCTAATGGCAAAACACCATAAAAATAACTGAGCGTTCAAACAGCGCTTTTATGCTGTTTTTAATAAAACGGGCTAGGAAAGTGGCGTGTTGTGATGTTTTTGGCGTTCCATATATGTTAGTATCGCCTCAACTCGCTTGGAACCTCAACGGAAGTGATACAAAAAAGTGCCGAGTAGCAGGTACAACTTTTCCCTAATGGAAAACCTAAAAAGGCGAGTCGGGCTGGTACTGTGCAGTGGAACGTCTGGTGTGGAGGGTTTATATCCTGAACCAGAAAACTTCCAATAAATAAAACATTGAATAAACTAGTAACTAAAGCTGTCGGATAAATGTAGAGAAGTAAAAGTACAATATTTCCCTCTGAGAAGTGGAGCAGAAGTAGAAAGTAAAGTACAAGTACCTGAGTGTTGTACTTGAGTACAGCAGTGTAGTAAATGTAGCTGTTGTGTTAATGTGAAGGTTTTGTGAGGAGCTCTCCAGTTTGTCCTGAGGGACGAACAGACTGACAGTGACAGGAAGCAGCCAGCAGGAGGCAGCAGGGGCTTCAGTTGTTCAACAGATGATAGTTTTCACTTTAAAGTCACTGGAGGAGCAAACTGTGTGCAGAGGGTTTGTGTCCTGTTACCTTAATAGAAACAACCAGTCCTCCTATAATGGAAGATCAGCAACCCAGTAAGGTTGTTGTTATTTCATTAAACGCCAGTTATTATGGAATAAACAGCATGTTAAAAATATTAAAGCTGTGTAGTAACAATAAAGATCATTCAAACCTCATCAGAACAGCTGACTTCAGTAAAATCATCACAGCAGTCTGATGGCGCTAAACCAACTTCAGCAAATTATTTTGGTTAGATTTAAATATTTCTGACTGGTTCAGCTATTAATTTGTGAAAAAGTGACATATTTTATTTTAAGATTGATATTGATTGTT